CTCATTTTCCTCGTCAATTGGGACCAACTGGCTCAATAACCCTTCAATAATTTTTAGCAATCTAAATTCTGTTAATTCATTTACTTGCTGACTTTTAGCATTTAATTTTTTATAATTCGTATAAAGGTTAATATTGTTCAGAATTTTTCCTGAAAGATCCCCTTTGTCCTCTTTGTCAATTAATGCCGTTCGCGCATTAGTCACTATATGACGCAAGAGACTGAATTTTACAGTACTAGATTTTTTCCAAATACATAAGAAAAGAGCAATTCGGAATCGAAAAACAATTGGGACGTTTAATGGATTTTTAAATTCAATTTCCATTTTTTGAATAAATTCTTTAGCATTTGTAGAAGACAAATGATCAAGAATTGTTGGGATATGTACAGAAATGGAAATATTTAAATAGAAAATTAAATAAATTAAAATAAATTTCCAATTCATCTAAAATTAATTTTTCAAAAAATTAAAGCGATTTTAAAATTAAAATAAATAAAATTATAAGTAAAAATAAGTTAATTGTACTTTTACCGCTTACTATAAAGCTTTTTAGCTTCACATGAATTCACGTGAAATAAAAAAAATAAAGTAACCTTCGAAATAATATTTCATAAACGCCGACAAAAAGAAATTCTAAAGTGCATAGACATTTAATAATTTTGAAATTTTTAGCTAAAAATAATTGCTTTTTGTTGCGATTTCTGCAATTATAATTTAAAAAAAATAACAAACAGTTGAAAATACCCTAGAATTATTTAAGACTAAAAATATTACTGAAATTAAACATTGAAAAGAAAAAATGAAAATCATAAAAGAATTTTAAGCACTTATAATTTAAATTTAAATAACACAATGTTCTCTAAGCTAGAGTAGGTCGAGGTCTTGAAACCACGGTCTCGACCTCGGGTCTCGAAACCTCGTCTCATTCTTCGCTAAGAACCTCGACTAGAACCTCGGCCTAAATTTGCCCCTCTATCTCGATCTTGGTTTTACCAACCTCGGTGATCCTCTGTCTTGGTTTTTTCAAAAAACCTCGATCTATCCTAATTTTATTAAAAAATAAGGTGATTTTTAAATTAATAAAAAGGTATTGATAAGAAATTTAAAAAAATTAAAAAAGAAGAATCAAACATTGAATAATAGAACAAAATTTATAAATATAAATTACATACTTTATTAAAGAATTATTTAAAAAAATTTTTTATTTCTAGAAATGCAGATTTATTTTATTAAAGGAATATTCAATGAAATATTAACTTCAATTAATCCAAAGAATTTGTTATTTTCATCATTAACAGCATTATCTTTTTCATTATTTTTTAATTTAAATTTATTTAATATTTTATTTATTGTGTTTTTATTAATTTTGTTATCCTCCAAATTTGTTAGAATATGTTTAATGACATTGAGGAGGGATATAAAGTATCATTTCTTAAATCAAATCAAGGCTATCATAAAATGGCGGGATGACAGATCCGGATATACTGATCCGCCAACCTTAGTCGCAAACTTGTTATAATTTAATTAATTATGGATTGTTATGCCCAAAATTCGGATTTTGGGTGTTGCAATAATCAAACCAAGATATTTTTGCTCTATCCTAGTTTATCCGTCCAATGAGCATTTATGAGCTCAATGATAAGTTTATGAGTCCAATGGAAATTTTTGAGGCTTTGAATGAAAATTAATTAAAAATTTGGCAATGGGATAATAGGACAGATATTTTATAATAACAATTCGAATTTAATTAAAAAAATTCATATTTAGTGGCTACTTTCGCCTCAAAAAATTGCAAAATAAAATGGAAAAACAATGGAAATGTAACATACCTATCGGAAATATTTTTGAAAATACAGTTAATAGACATCCCGAAAAGGATTGTATAGTAGAAGCTGAAAGTGGGAGAAAAATTTCTTTTAAAGAATTGGATGAATTGGCTAATAAATTTGGAAATTATTTCAATGAGAAGGTTAAAAAATAAATTTAAATAGCTGACATTTAAAATTTCAAGTTAACAATTGATGAAAATTTTCAAAATAATTCGTCTGACACAGTTGGAATTTTGCTGGAAAATTGTATAGAATTTGTAGCTATATGGCTGGGTTTAAGCAAAATTGGAGTAATTACTAGCTGGATTAACACACAATTGCGAGGACACTCTCTATCTCATTCAATTAATATTGTAAATTGTAAAGCGATAATAACATCGAAATTGCATGTTGAGGGTAATTTTATAAACTTTGGAAATTGGAAATTATAATAAATTAAAGCAAATCTCAATTTTAGATATCGTTATGGTCTGAAAAAATTCTAACTAAAAATGAGGGGTATCTACAAAAGGGTGTACATCAGAGCGGGGCCCAGCGAATTTTAAGGGCCAAAAAAAAATTTTAAATTTGACTATTTTATTTTTAATTTATCAATTATTTTAAAGAATTAAAGAATGCAATAAATACGGGATTACTAAATTCTGACATTAAAATTTTCATAATTAATAATCACAATGATATAAACATTAACGAAGATAACAATTTTATTTTAATAAATGATAATGAATTAAACAAAAAATCAAAGCCCTTCACAAAAAAGGAAATTGGATTTCAAAGTAGTTTATAGACGAATTTTAAAAAAATATTTGAAGATAACTTTTGAAGATATTCTTGCATATTTATACACTAGTGGCACAACAGGACAACCCAAAGCTGTGATTATTAGACATTATCGTTACTATTTTATGGGCATAGCCGGTCCTATAGTTTTTGATATAAACTCGAATGATATTTTATATGTAACTTTACCTATGTATCATGGAATGGCTGGAATTGCTGGTGTTGGTCAAATGATAGTTAATGGTAAGTCTTAATTTAAGAGGAGGTGAGAACCGAAGGTCTACCCATCTACAAGGGTGGAACAGAACCGAGAATCTGGGATTTTTATTACGGTTTCTGGCATCCGAAGAATGTCTTAAAACTCATAACTTAAAAGTATAATCTATCAAAAAGCAGCTCAAAAGAAGCTCAAAAATATTCTATCAATACACGGATAGCAATTCGAAAATTTAATTGAATTTAAAATTTAATAGGCTGTACAATTGTAATACGCCCTAAATTCTCTGCATCTCATTTTTGGAATGATTGTAGAAAATTTAATTGTACAATAGCTATTTATATTGGGGAAATTTGTCGTTATCTTATCACACAACCAAAAAATTCTAAAGTCGATAAAGACCACAAAATAAGAATGTTTTGTGGTCTTGGACTACGCCCAACGATTTGGGAAGAATTTAGCCAGAGATTTGGAATTGGAAAAATAGCTGAATTATATGGTAATATTTTTAAAAAAAATGTAAGATTTTGAAATTTAAAATAGGAGCAACGGAAGGAAATGCAACTTGTGTAAATATTGATAATAAAGTTGGGGTTGTTGGGTTTTTACCAGTTTATACTTATTTTATGAAAACAACGTCTATTAGGATTGTTAAGGTATTTAAATATTTTGTATTATATAATTAAAATAATAAATTTAATGTCAAATCTCATTGCAAGATACACTATTGGTGTTAAAGAATAGACCAGGGATCAGTGCTTCGAAGCTCGTACCAAAATTCGTACTCATACCTCGTATTCGTACCTGGTACGAAGTACGTTTACGAGCAAATTTGAAATTTCGAAGCAATGCTAGGGATGGGATCTCTTCAGTATCCGTCTTCTACACCTATCATATCACTAATTGTGATATATTTAATATTTAGTGTATCTTTTAATACGGATAAACAAACATTAGTCTAAAATTACAATAGTTCATTTTTCCTTAAATAAATTAAAGGTAGATCCAATATCACGTGAATATTTGAGAAGACCAAACGGTCTTTGCCAAATTTTCAAGCCTGGCGAGACTGGGGAAATTGTTGGAATGATAAGAAAAGACAACCCAACACGTCGATTTGAAGGTTATTTAGACAAACAGGAAACTGATAAGAAAATTTTAAAAAATGTGGAGGTTGAAGGGGATTGTGCTTTTGCCAGTGGGGATTTAATATATTGGGATATTCTTGGATATTTGCATTTTAAAGTAACTTTAAAGGTCAAAAAATATTTTTCCAAATATTAAAAGGACCGTCTAGGAGATACTTTTCGTTGTTGTGGAGAGAATGTAAGCACAACAGAAGTAGAAAATGTACTTCAAGGAATTAAAGGAATTGAAGAGCTGGCTGTATATGGAATTGAAATGGATGGAAAGGAGGGTAAACATGGAGTGTGTTCTATAGTTTTGAATAAATTTGTGGAAGATAATGTAAAAATTAAATTGTAATTTCAACAGAAAAGTAAAAATTTCAGCAAATAATTGACCAAATTGGAAGGAAATTTAAAGAAAATTTGCCTGAATATGCAATTCCAAAATTTATTAAATTTTGTGAGGGTCTTGAAAAGACTGGCACATTTAAACTTAGAAAAGGTGAAATTAGACGAAATGCTTTATCTAATACAAGAAATAAATTGTTCATCTGGAATAGAAGTTTAAAAAAATATATGGAATTTAATTAACATTATTTCAAAGTTGATTAGGGATTTTTCAATAAATTCTGAGAATTATTAAAAAGTTTTTTAATAAGTTACTGCTAAGTAGCTCGATATAATAAGATATCATCTAAGGGGATTTTAGTTATTCAAAGGAAAATAATAGCTACCAGACATGATCATGGATACTGATATTGATACAGATAATACCAAAATGCCTGCGGATATCCGCCTGTATCCTTCTGTATCCGCCGTAAATATCCGGATACGGATACCAAAATCCGTGTCCTAGTCTGAAAACTACTAGGTATACATATCTAAAAAAGTGCTGCAGAGATTTTAGAGTTATTTGTTGTTACATTGAAACTTCGAACATTACTTATCAATGAATTAAAACCTTTACATCTGATATATTTCTCATTCGAAATTACTTGAAAATTAGTTTTTCCGATAAATATCGAAAGGTTTTTTAATATTTATTAAAAAATATATTCACAAAATTTCTACATATTACTGATTTTCTTTTCTTCAGAAAATTTACATAGATTTGTACTATTCATCAAACAATTAAATCTTCGTTATATTAATGCCACCATTCGGGTTCTCCGGGTGTTAAATGTGTTGGATGTATATGTGCTAACCTTAAATGTTTAAATCTTTTTATATCAGCCTGTTATTTTTAGTGATTGGACTAGGAGGAATAGAACCATCATAAAAAGACCTCCAATCAATCCTATTATGTGTTCATTATGACTAATTATAATTTCATACATGTACGGACCCAAAATTTTAATTATAAAATTACCACGGGGTTTTGTAAACATCATGCGGTGGGTAACGGCTGTGTGGTATGTGATAAGTTCCTCCAAGTACTTCACTGTATTTGTAGTGAGGAGAATGCCAATGGCGAGCAAACAAAGGGCGATAATCTAATTGTTGCCCATAGGCTCCGTATCCATGGTAGCTTCCATACATTTTTATTTTTTTTTTAATTTGAAGGAATTTGAACGAACACAGATATCTTTATTTATTTTTAAAATGATCTTTCTCAAATCAATTTATGTTCGATCGAAAAAAGTGCACCTAACAACTGTTGTTAAATTTTTAAAACTAAAGGTTAGAGGTATGAACGATTATTTTTCTTTTTATTTTTTCTGGAAATTGAAAATTAAAAGTTAATTTTTGGGTAGATAATCACAAAAATTTATCCAAAAATAATATTAAAAATAATAATATTAAAAATTTCAAAAAATTCCATTAACACATATGACAGATTAATCCACACGTATCACGCCTTGTCTGTTCGGGATAAAACAGATTATCGCAATAGCCGTTAGCTGCCCAAAAGACACAACTTTTAAAATTAATTTTTAATAAAATTAAAAAGTTTTTAATTTTTTATACTTTGGATGTCGATTAATACAGTTGAGGTTATACCCAGCATTTCGGCACGTTTCAGGACAATTATCTTTCATTAACTGTTGATACATCTATGAAAATTTTATAAATTGAGTTGTTAGGAGGTTGAGATTTTTGAAATAACATAGAAATTAGAGATTGGCCAAAGGGTTCGTTCGATATTCGATATAAAATATCGAACCGAACTCTAGTAGAAATAGCTGGATGTTATCGTTATTAGTGCCAGATTCTATCAAAAATTTGGACGTATACTCACATTATTAGCACATAAGTCACGATGTAATTCACAATTTCTTCCTCGATTATACCCAATACCTTAAATTAAAATCAAGATTGAATTTATTTAAATTTTTAATTCATTCTAGAGTAAATTAAGGAGAAAATTTTATATTTTACTAAAATTATTAAAATGTGTTATTGAATTAATGATGCAGAAAAATTCCTAAAATTTTTTCAAAATAAAATAGTTAAATAGAAATAATATATATTTTTATTTTTTATTTACGCCAAAATTTTATAGTTAATTTATTTTGTGATTTTAAAAATAAAATTATTTTATGAATTTAATTATTTTACCTCTAGTAGTAGTCATATTATAGCTCCGAGTTGTACTATAAGGTATTGGAGTGACAATCAAATTTGGATCTGAAGTAGGCAACAAACAAACACCCGATTTTTGATCGGTAGTTTTATATTTGGCACAAGTTTCTTTTGAAGAGCCAGTACTTCCTTGAAGGCAATCCTGGTCCTTGTCACATATTGCTAGAATGGTTATATAGATTTTTTAATTAAAATTTATACCAGACCCCGACCTAGCTCCCGAACTTTTTTCTCAATTATTTACGGCCCTTACTCCGCCCTGAAACAAATTAATAACCCCTTACCCCGACACATCCGCCCGCGAGCGCTACTGGTACAGAAGGTACACACTGATCGCAAGGTACCCTAATTCAAAATTAAAAACAAACCAAAAGATCCAACCCTTTGTGTCGTTACGCATTTATTATTAGCACACAAAGTTGAAGGTAAACAATCAGAATGTTTATCACATGCAGAACCGGAAGGTTCTAAAATTCGGAAAAAATAAGAAAAAATTTAAATCGACTAGTTTAATCACTTCTCTGAGGGAATTCATCAACACATAAGCCATTTCGGCATTCAAGTCCGTTACAATCCGTGTTGGTTCTGCATGAGGGTGGTGGGCATCCATACAAATTATTTCTGTCACAGCTTGACTAAATGATTTAGAAATTATTTTGAAAAAATATTTAATTAGTTACATGGCTCGGATCTGCACATTCGCCGTTAATACAAGCTTAAATTGGGTAAATATAATGTTTTTTTTTGATTATTAAGTACTGACATTATTGTTGGCAATATTATTAATTTAAATTTTTAAGATCGTGTTTTTGAAAATATTTTTTATTTTTATTAATAATCACTCGTCAGAGTATTTTCTAATAGATCCCAAAATTTAGGAAAGGAATTATTGGTTAGGTATTCAAGGGGGAAATTTCAGGGAGAAATTCAAAGAGGTATTCAGGGGAAAAATCAAGCATTAAATTTCTTTTATTTTTTTATAATTTATTTTTCATATTTTTATAATTTATTTTTCAAGTTTTATATTTTATTTTATTTTTTATCTAAATAAAATTAAATTAATTTCCTTATGTTTCTTAATGTTTAAACTTTTTTCTAATATTCTTAAAAATATTTTATTCAAAATTTAACATTAAATAAATGTTAATTATATGTATTTTATTTTTAAATTAAAATATTTTCTTCAATAAATAATTATTATGTGTTGCTTTTCTTGTTATTTGATTAAAAAAATATTTTTTTAATGTAACAATTTACTGAAATTTTTTTGTTCATTTAATTTAACAAAACTAATAATTATTGTTTATTTTTTATTGAAAAATAAACAAAAATTAAATAATTTTGTTAATAAATAATTTTTTAATATTAATTTTTAGAAAATTAATTATTATAATTAATTTAAAAAATTTATCAAGTGTAAATTTATTTTTTAAGGTTAATAATTTTTGATTCTCCATAAATCAGTTTTTAAATCTTTAATTTAATTTCTGGTACAATTTTTCCAATTTTTAATTTCAATTTTGCGAGATCTTTGAATTTTTTAAATTTTATTTCAAAATAAATAATTGAGTATTAAACATCGGTTCTAATTTAATTTTTGTTAATGTATCAAAATTTGTTTATTTCACCCCTTTTTTATTTTATAATTATCTTTATAATTATTATTTTTTGACAAAAAATATTTTTTTATTAACATTTTTTTAGGCTCCTATACAACTCATCTAATCGTTAACTCATCTATTCGTTAACTCATCTACAAGGCCAAAAAGGGTCAACTCATCCAATCGTTAACTCATCTAATCCTTAACTCATCTACACGGCCAAAAACGCTCAACTCATCCAATCCTTGAAATATCGGCCGGTTGAGTCCCTAGCCGGTTGAGTCCCTGGTCAGTTGAGTCTCAACCGGCCCAAGACTCAACCGGCGGTAATCAACCACTCAAACGGCCGGGACTCAACTGGCCATGGACTCAACTGGTCATGGACTCAACTGGCCATGGACCCTACTTACCAGAGACTCAAACGGCCGGAGACTCAAACGGCCGGAGACTCAAACGGCCAGAGACTCAGACGGCGAAAGACTCAAACGACTGGTACTCAATAGTCTCGTTCCAAAGGATTGGATGAGTTGAGCGTTTTTGGCCGTGTAGATGAGTTAAGGATTAGATGAGTTGATGATTGGATGAGTTGACCCTTTTTGGCCGTGTAAATGAGTTAACGAATAGATGAGTTAACGATTGGATGAGTTGACCCCTTTTTGGCCGTGTAGATGAGTTAAGGAATTTTAGCCGTTTAGATGAGTTGAACGTTTTTGGCCGTGTAGATGAGTTAACGAGTAGATGAGTTAACCGGACACGTTTTTTTAGTTTTAAAAATTTTCTTACGCCAAGTTCTATCCATTTCCACAAATTTTGGAGTAGACACAATTAAAATAAATAAAATAAAAATAAATATAATACAAGCCATTTTATTAATTATTAATTAATTTTTATTTAATAAAGGGTAGCAACTAATGTTTTAAAAAATTTCTTACAAATTTAATTATTTTTTAAAATAACAAAAATTGTAAAAAAAAATTTAAACAAAATTAAATATTAAAAAAATTAAATATTTAATGTCTTTAAATTTGATCTTTTAATGGTTTAATTTATTTAAAATTAAAAAAAAATTTTTTATAAAATTATAAAAATATAAAATTAACAATGTCAATAATTTTTTTTCTCAAAAAATTATTTTTTAAAATACCTGGAATTTATTTAAAATAAAATTTTTTTCAATTTTAAGCATATAAAATGTCAATTACTTTTTCAAATTTTAAACACCTGCCAAAACTCTTTTTGGAATTATTATTTTTAATTATTTTTATTTCCTCTCGACTTTGTCTACTTTATTAAAATTAAATTTAAAAGTGTTGAATGTTTTTCTAAATTTTTTATTTATTTACTTTTCTATTTTTAAAGGTGAAAATGACAAAAATAAATAAAAAGTGCAAGCAAATAATTAATTTAAATTAAGAATTAAAAAAATTTTTTTAATAAAAATGAAATTTTAAAAATATAGATTGATTTAATTTATAATATATTCTGATCAGTGCTGATCGAAATAAAAAATTTATTTTTTTCGAAACGAAATAGAAAAAAGGCCCGCACGAAAGAATGAAGCGGAATGGAATTACGATCAGTCCTGATACGAATCCAACGACACATTCAGCTCGTATTATTCTTCCCGAAACTCTTCTCCTTTACTTCGATATCTCCAAACGTGTATTATACTCCCACATTAACTAAAGTTATTTTTTAGAGCGCAAGGTTACGTAAAAATTAAATAAAGATGTAGTAATTACTATAATTCCTATAATTCCAATAATTTCCGCTAAATTCAACTTTCAAGTAGAGTTCAGCGGGATCGGGATCCCGGTCGGGATCGGGCGGGATTATCCCGGGTTTTTCGAATCCCGATCCCGATTTTTCTGATCCCGGTCCCGAAATAAATATCCCGATCCCGATCCCGGTCATTCTCAATCCCGAGCCGGGATCCGGGATCGGATCGGGATGTGCATCAGATCCCGATGCAAATCCCGACTTTATAAATTGACTAGAAGTCTGTGAAATAAAGTTAACAAAAGAGGGGAGGCATGAAAGTAAGAAAAATTTTCGCCTGCGGCGCAGAAAATGGAAAGAATTTGGCATGTTGACATCCAAAATCTCAAAATTTTCGTCTGCGGCGCCGCAAAAATGAACAAAGCTGTCTTTACAACTTTAATGAAATATTGAGTGATTTGGTGTGATATCGAGGGATCAAGAGGGATTGAGAGGATTATCGGTGGATTTACAGGGATTGAGTTAGATTTGAAGAGAAATCGAGAGCTTAAGAGATATTGCTAAATGAATATATCACTTAATACCTCAATGTCAGTTCTTAATCGTCCACGTTTTAGCGTAACGCACTTAATCGTTAGACTTGA